GTCCGTTTCTATTCCCTCAAAAGCTCTAACATTCCTTTCCTTCCACACAACTCAAAAAATGGTACGTGAAATAAAAAATAAAAGTTTTTTCTTTTTACAAATACCTGCCCAAGCCCACAATTCTTTACTTACATCACCTGCCATAACCCATCTCATCCCCATCAAACTGAATACCGATATCCAAAAGCTATGAGTAACCGGGCAAAATGATAAAATGTAGTCACATGACTCCTCATCAGCCTTGCATAAGAAACATCGATTAACAAGGATGTTGCCCCGCCTCTTTAACATGTCAATAGTCAAAATATTTCCTCTTGAGGCTTCCCAAGCAAAAGAAACCATCCTAAGAGGGGGCTGCAATTTTCTAGATTTTCCTAAATGGGGCTGTCATATTATTCTCATTGTCCACTTTGGTTATAAAAGTGTAATAGGACTTCACTGAAAATCCATTCTTCTCATCCAACTTCCATATCCTCCTATCCTTCTGATCCTTCATGTTAATTTCTGCTAGCACATAGAGTAAATTACAATATTCATCAATTTCCTAGTCCTGCAAGTTCCTTCTAACCTGTACACTCCATCCCCTTTCCCCACCAACATTCTCATACACTCTATCCACTGTAATGTCCCTTTCACTAGCAATATTGTAGATATTAGGGAATCTGTTTTTCATTTTAAAAGTCCCCGCCCATTCATCCTGCCAGAACCTCACTCTTTCTCCACTCCCCACTTTCCATCCCATGCAATCCCGAAAACTACTGCCTTCCCCACTGATTTTCTTCCATAAACTCATCCCATGCAGTTTGTATTTCCCTCTTCTCCCGCCATCCCGCTCCTAATCCCCCCATCTCGCCCCCACCACCTTCCTCCAAAGTTTGTCATTCTCATTACAATACCTCCATAGTCATTTTTCATGAAGTGCAACATTCAAACCCACAATTGATCTAAGTCCAAGCCCACCCCTATCCGTAGGTTTCTTCACCTCCTCCCACCTTACCAAATGATATTTTCTAGAACCATCATCATCACCCCAAAGGAATCTGCATTGGATCCTTTCAAGTTTTGAAGCAATGCTAACTGGAATAGTT